TTGTCTGATATTACTATGCACATACCAGCTTTCTCCTGATTTGCACTTAATGGAGGACGCTTTTCCATTCCCTTAATATCAAAATTTAAAACTTTTTTTCTATTCTTGAGTGATTATTCTAGAAATCATAAGCTGCAACCTCTTTGTCAGTGTCTAATGTCGATACCTTTCCTTCTCTGGACAACGTAAGGACTTTAGGATGTTAACTTCGTATACCCCGACACCTGACCCTCCCCACCTGACGTATACATACGCATGACTATTTGGGGGGGAGTCATTTTTTTCTGCAGTTTTTCACCCAGGGATTTGGTTTTTTGTGTGTCATGTTACCTTAGATTGTATTTTGGACACTGCATTTAAGAATTCACTTTTAGAAATAATCTGAAAACTGTAAATGATATTGTCATTCTCCGGAGAGGATTTCTGTTTTGGCAGGACACATTCTGCTGTTACTGGAAGTCCCCCTAAATGACTGTCGGGAGGGGAAGTTCAAATTACTGATTCAAGTCTGGTGATGATTATCGTATTTTTTTCAGGTTTTTTTTTTTCTTGAGATCGTTTTAGTAAGATCCATCCATTGTCTCAGTCTTCAAATTTATTGATATGAGTTGTTAATATTCTAAAGTCTCTGCTCTATTTATGGTCATGTTCTCTTGTTCATTTCTGAAATTGAGCTCTTGCTCTTCTTGGTCATTTGATTTTATTGCTCCTATTGTGTTTTCTATTTCATTAATTTCTACTCAGTTTTTTTCTCCTGTCTTTGAGTTTATTGTTTTTCTAACAAGTTGTATGTTAGTATTTTCTAACTGTGACTATTTGACTTATTTAGAAACTTTTTTTTCTAAATTTGGAAACTTTCTAGTTATCCTTTTTGTTGCTGACTTCTGACAATTGCATGATAAAGAAAAATGATCTCCATGATACTGACTCTTTAAAATTTGATGTCTTCTCATAGTATGTGATCAATTTTCATAAATTTTCCTTGTGTTCAAATTACACATTCTTATTTTGTAAGCAGGGTTCTACATATGTTCACTAGGTCAAGTCTGACCTTGTGCTTAGATTCCTTAACTGATTTTTTTAAACTGACTGGTCTCCCAGATATATTAAAATATCCACTGTGATGGTGACTGTCAATTTCTTCTTCTAGTCCTCTAAACTTTTTCCATTTTTGAAGATTTTTACAGAGGACATATAAACGTAACCTATCATTATCTAGAGATCTTCGTTAAAACAGAAAATATCAGTACAGTTAAAGTCTACTTACACAGCTACAAGAGCTTCCTTTGATATTTCTCTGGTCTTTAAAAAATTTTTTTAATTAATTGTTTTTGTGTTGTGGGGGAGAGTAATTAGGTTTATTTATTTATTTTTTAATGGAGGTGCTGGGGATTGAACCCAGGACCTCCTGCATGCTAAGTATCTGCTCTACCCCTGAGCTACACCCTCCCTTCTCTCTGGTCTTAATCTTTAGGCTCTCAGCCTTTCTGTATCTTTGTTTTAGATGAATTTCTTTAAAAAGCATATTGTAGATTGTTAAAGATCTAGCCTAATGACCCAACATTTTTTGCAGAAGACTTTGACACATTTATAACTGGAATTATCCTTCTCACACTGCTCATGTGTCCTATCCACTTTTTCTCCTGTGTGTGTTCACGTTTTGTTTCTCTCATTTCCCTTTTGCCTCAACATATACTACTGGAGCATGTGCTACTTTGGTTTTTTTAGAGGCAGTTCTTCAAACTGTCAAGTTCATACTGAAGTCTAAAATTGGTCCATATCTTTACTCTCCTTCAGAATACAAGCTATTTAGATCAATAGAATTTCAATTACCTACCTTACCTGGACTAGGTTTACAGGCAATAAGACATCCAGAATCTCTCATGTTTCTTATGTTTCTTCCTCCCACAAAGCAGACATTGTTTTACACCCTCAGTATTTCTTTAGATGACTCAAGTGCTTGCTGTTTCCTTTACTCACTCTTATTTCTTATATTTCAGACTTTGGGATGATATTCCTCCTTCCTTGAAGTATATCTTTTAGAAGCTCCTTTAGTGAGGCAATTTTCACGGTAAATTCTCAATTTCTGTTCACCTGAAAATGTCATTTCACCTTCGTTCTTAGACAATCCATGTGGAACAGTAGTCTGCATCCACGTTTTCTGGAATGATACTAATAATCCAGCATTTGAGAGTTGAAAGCTGAAAACTTCAGACAAAGGAAGGAATAAGGCAAGCACTATTCTAATTTTATACAGCATTTACCAGACGAATGTCTGAAATACCTTTCATACGCTTTTTTTTTTTTAAGTTTTGGGGTTTTAAAATTTTTTTAATTTAATTAATTAATTTTCGTGCATGCTAAGCATGTGTTCTACCACTGAGCTATACTGTCCTCCTTTATATGCATTTTATAAAAACTAGATTTCTCACAATGATCGTCCTGAGAAGCTCACCGGTAAGAAACGTATTTTATAATTCCCCTCTCCTTTTTTCCTAACAGGTGAACAGGATAAATACCCTAAGACTTGTAATCACTTGCTCCTTTTACTCTTCTGGTTCCGCCCTAGCGTCCCCGTCATCTGATCTGTGTTACTTAGGATGTGCCGTTTCTGTCTCTTTAAGGGTGATTCTTTTTACAAGTATTAAATTTTCCACAGTGTTCAAGAAATCCCATTGGTGTAACTCGTAGTTTAAAAGAATTTTTTATTAACCAGGATTCTTAATTCCTTCCAACATGTCAGATAACAAATCTTTTAAAGATAACTAAGTCTTTGGTCTGACACATTAATATATAATTGATAATTTAAGTTAATAAAATTCATTATTTTTTAATCATGTTCCTGAAGAATAAGTTATGAATCTGTGAATAACAGTCCATTAAATTAGCGCTTCATTTATACAGAGGGGAAATGGAAACTCCTATCATATTCAAGGCCACAACTCTGCTAAGAGTTTCTAAGTTTTTTGTAAATACATGTAACAAATTCCCTGTACTTGACAGGGAGGGTACGAGCATTTCCATGACAGCTAAAAGAAGTACTCTCAAGTATAGCAAGAGATTGTCAACCTTACTAATCACACACCTTAAAAAAAAAAATGTGTTTTATTGTTTTTTTTTTCTTTCAGAGTAAGCACACAGGCATCTACTGGGAGTTTTTTGGTTTGTCCTTTTGTGGCAGTGGAGGAGGGTAATTAGGTTTATTTATTTACTTTTTTAAACTGGGGATTGAACTCAGAATTTCATGGATGCTAGACACATGCTCTGCCACTGAGCTCTACCCTCCCCGCCACATTCTTATCAAAGGGAAAAATAAATGCATATTCCCCTAATATGTAAGTATTTATAAATTACTTATGTGTAACATATTGCATGTAATAAAATACACAAAAATATAAATTAAAAAGGATGGACTATGAATAAAATAAATATCTTAAAATATTTTAAAATACATTAATGGAAAGATAACATTTGAGGGCATATTGGTAAATGGGTGTGAATGACAGTAATGTGATCCAGTGTAATTTAACTTGATTGCCAACAGAATGCCATCATTTTAGGGGGAGGGTATAGCTCAAGCGGTAGAGTGCATGCTTAGCATGTACGAAGTCCTGGGTTCACTCCCCAGTACCTCCTCTAAAAATAAATAAACCAAATTACCTCCCACTGCCCCCCGCCCCCCAAAAAACTTAAAAAAAAAAGATGCCATCATTTAACATTCCATAATGTGGCTCAGCAGCAAACACTGGGCCCAGAAGGGGTGTAAGTCTGATGATTTTTTATTGTCTGCCAACAGTTTGGTCCCCACCGCCCACCCTCGACAACAAAGTAGTTCCTAGACAGGGACTTGTTCACCAGGGAGACAATCCCAGGGGCACCGTGACAGTGGGGAGGTGAGAGGGAAGGAAGGCAGGCAGTAAGCAGTGCAGTAACAAACAGATTATTGCTGGAAGCCACTGGGAATCGGTCCTGCGGGGCCGCCCTGAGGAACACCTCAGTGTCCTCTCACCGAGCAGGTGGGGGAGGAAGCGGAGTATTTACCTACCAGACCCTGGCCCGGCCCAAACGCAGCCCGGGAGGCCCTGGCATCCAGGAGACACCTTCAGAAGTCTCAGGGTTTGGAACTGCAGGCAGGCTAGAGGAAGCCCAGGGGACACACAGCATATGTGACACCCGTTCTGCCTGCATTATGAGGACTGTCTTTTAAGCCCTTATAAAGAATCTTTGTTAGCTAAGTGAAGGTACGGTTAGACAGTTTCACCTACACAGGTTACATATAAATCAACACACCTGTGAGAACACCACTGTCCATTCTTCCCACCTTTCCCACAGGGCACCTCAAATACACACATGACACAGGCAATCTAACACAGAGACTGAGGGAGTGCTGGGGTCAGAGCATCAATACTGATAAAATTTAATCTTCTCTCAGATTAGAATGCACAAATCAAAGTTATAAAATACATTACCTTCTGTCCCCCTTGAGGTGCATGTGCCCATTCTGGCCATTAGGGACCAAAGCATATAGAGCCTCGCCCAGATCTCAGCTGGGAACAATTCCATTCATTTCAGGGTATGTGGGAACTCTTCTAACTGGGTAAGAAAACACTAGTAACATAACGTTCTAATACAGTTTCAGTATTTGCCTATCACTTAACAAGGAGGAGATGAAAATTTCAATCTTCACAGAATTCCTTGATTGGGTATCTTATTTCCCAGTATTTAAAAAATTATACAGAAACCCACCCATAATGCGGCTCCATCTAGGAATTCACTGCAACTCAGGTCAAAATGCTCTGACTTCCCATAGTCTTTGGTATGAAAGGCAAACTGCAAACTGGGTAGGCTCTTTGTTTTCATCCCTTTTACAGAAATAACAGCTCTACAGAAACGTTTTTCAAATTCACAGCTTCCTAAATGAGTTACATGTGAAAACTCAGAAATGCATTTCAACTTTCTTAAACAAGTATTGAATTGAATTCCAGAAATGTGACACAAAGTTATAAAACTCCATTTTATTTGGACTGAAATGAGTCTTATTCAGTTTTTAAACAACTTAATCACATACAGTTTAATTATTATTATCACTCTGAATAATCTTCACAACCTAGGAACAGAACAGGCTTAAACGGTACTAGTTTAAGAAATCCACCTTGTGCAGAAATACTGTCATGTTAAATTCCCTGAGACTTTAAAACTTTAGAATCAAATCATTTTAGCCTACTAAAGACTTTTAAAACTTGCTTAGTATTCTCCTCAAAGGCTATTTTATGACACGTATCAACAAAACTCAACGCCACTTTCTCTGATAATAAAAAAATGTTTTCTTAAGTTGTTACTTTTTAAATGACGTGAAACTAAAGAAAATTGGTTGCTGGTGTTAGAATCATCATGTTTGAAGAAAAAGATCCTGTGCTTCACCGCTTGCTGCCACGCCTTACAGAGGTAGGGCCGATAGTCTAGCTCCGCATCACTCGGACGGTTGGAGGCACAAGAAGGACCTTCTGCTGAGTTTGCGGTTCTCTGCATTATACTTTGCGTTGTTGCAAAAAGAACCAATCGATACTCATTTACAAGTTTCTCTAAGAGTTGAGAACATTTCTTCAGAACAGACTCCTGTAAGTTAACACTTTCTCCTCCATTGACACGGTCTATCCAATAAAAAGCCGACAGGCTATCCAAAATCAGAAGGCAGAGGGAGGGGCGACTACAAAACATGGTTTCTAGCGAGTACAGCGTGAGAAGCAGCTGCGTGCTACTACTGCAGTAGACCAGAGAGAGTCTCCCGAGGCAATGCTTTATCACTTCTTCAGAACTTTGGGACAGTCTGTGCTCAAGAACTGTAACAAGCCGAAGCATGTCAAAGTGGTAATCCGTGTCAATAAATAAGACTTCTACTTCCAGTCCACCTTCCGATTTTGGAAGTATACATCGTGCTGTTAAGTGATAAAGCATCTCTGTCTTTCCTGTTCCTTCTGGACCATGAAATTCAAGAATAGCACCTGTGTAAAATTTAAAAATGTCGGTCAAAATGCAGCAGCACAATAATGGTAGGCTAAGAAATGAGAAGTCTGCAAAAATGTTTAAAAAAATTTACTGACATATTCTTTTGAAAGAAAATCTAAATCCACTTGCCCAAATGGATTCGTAGAAGCAAACACAAATAAATATGGAAGTTAAATCACTAAATTTCACCTCCGGGAGAGGTGCTGGCTATTAATTAGCACCAAGAAAATTTGAAAAACAAAACAACATGGTTGAAATGGGCCCAAGGGCATCTGCTGGGGATGGGGCCGCATACACTCAGAATTAAACTGTCAATACTGCAGCATTAAGCATAATGTGCCACAGGTCTATGGTCTTTTAAAGAGATACTGACCCCTGATACACGCCATTTCTGGTAGTTGATTTTCCAATATCCATTTTCTCCTTTTTCCTTAAGTTTAAAACCCCAATTTGGGGGGAAGGCAATGTGCCCAGCTTAAAAACTATTTTTCTTAGTTTTCCTTGCAAAGATAGGTCAGCAGGTATCAGAGTTGTATCCAGTGAAACACAGTGGATGTCTGCTGGGGTTTCTAACTTTTGCTGCCCTGAGACAGGTGCCACTTCTGCTCTGCCACTCCCTCCTCTGGTGCAGCAGTCATCTTGGAACAGCGAGGATGTCGGGTTCACACCAAAGAGGGCAGACCCCGAAAAGGGTGGAGCAGGAAGACAGGCGTGTCCAGGACTTGGATGACAACACAGAACCCTGTGTGCCAACGATGCACAGCCTGCCTCGGTACCAACGGGTGGAAAATAAGCCTCTAGCTCATAAGCTGCTAGGTTGGATTTCTGTCACATGCAGTTGAATCAATCCATAATCAGGGCTTCTCAATGTTGTTGTCATAATGGGTGGAACAATTCTTGACTGTGCAGATTCACACAAGCAGGGCAGTAAGAGCCCACAGCTCTCAGGTCCTAAGTGCCAACAGCACCCTTCAGGTGAAAACTCCCACACACAGGTCCAAGCTGCCTTCAATTACTCCCTGCTATAGTGAGTATCTCTGAAATGGTCTTGCTGAAACGACATCTGCATTGTGAATTATTTTCCACATTATAAATCAAAGTCAACTACTCTGAACTTTAAAGACTCCAAATCTCTCTCTATACAGGTTCCAATAACTCTCTTTCATTGAGGACAGGACACGTTAAATAAAACACCTGGGGAAACTGTCCTGTCTCCAGAGCTTTCAAAATCCACTCTAAACAGTGGCCTTCCAATTCTTGTTTGTTTGCCATTAAATTTATGGCTGAACTACATAACTGGTAACATGTTAAAAAGCAGATTCTCAGGTTCCAAACAAGTTATGGTCTATCTGAGAATCCAGTTACTTTATTTCCTGTTATTACTGACAAGCCATTTTATGCTGGAACAATCACAAATAATG